TGAAAATGCTCCTTGTGAGTTTCCGGATCTTACTTTTTGTTAGCCTGTTGCCAAAGCTTGAGTCTGTGCCAGTTTATGAACCGAACGTGTCTTCATTCATATATTTACATTCCCTGCAGGAACTCTCCCCACCCCCTTTCCTTTTCCCTTTCCAAGCAATTTGTTTCAGTGTTTTAGCACACAAAAAATACAACCATTTTCTTCAGTGTAAACAGAGATCCGCAGGGAAATAAGAGCTTTAAAAAAGAATTAGCATGTTTGGCGGCAAAGCTGCTTTTATTTGTATCAGAGAGCTCTGAGTCTTAGAAGGGCTTGCTTAATCTTCATTATTCCATACATAAGAAGGTAATAATGGCACAATTTTTCTAATCTTTTCTTATTGCATCTGCCTGTATTTCTTACTGTGAAATGAGAAATGTTTTTTGGAAGAGTGGAAATAATTGGGTATTAGTTCTCCAAACAAAAAAAACCCATGACATACAACCTATGTGGTGCACATTTATTTTTCAGTGCCCGGTGAGCTGAGCCCAGGAGGTGGCGGGTGGCAACAGGTAGATGTAATGAAGGGCAAGCATCCATTTTTCTCCTTTCCATCAGTACTAATAGTAAAAGTTTATTAATTTGGGCTCTGTACTTTCGGGATTTATTTAGCGACTCAGATTGGCTGAGGTTTAGCGTTGTACTAACAGTGAGGAAACGGGTTATTTAGCAAATTAATAGTATAAATAAGATCACAGGGGAGAATATTAGGCTACTTAAGGACCTCTGTTTTCTGGTACTGATGAACTGCTTTAGCAAACTGTTAGTTTCTAATGCAAATAATTCATTATGGACAGCTGAATGGTATCAATGAAGGCAATTAAGACAGGACCTTCTTTGGATAAAAGGACCTCATTGTAGCAATATCTGGTTAGCTCGTGCAACTCTTAAAGGTTCTCAAGTGATATATTATTACTTAAACCTATTGTCGTGGCCCACTACTGTGGTTGGAGTTAGTAGACCTGGAATGTAGTTCGTGGCCTAGGATGAAGGTGTCCTTTGGGAAAGCTTGAAGTATTAGAGCCCTAGGTTTTGCCTGGGTCAAATGACCAGGCGATGTGGCCTGGGGTCAGGCCTGACATCTATAATCCTCATTGGCCGTATATCAAGATCACCTCAGAAGCTTTTTCAAAATATGCATGACTGTCCTCCCTCTACCTCCCCTCAAATTCTGATGTATGGCCCTAGTTTAAAAACTAGTATCTTACATGATCTTCACAGACTAACAGCTCTGAAAATTATATTGTTCAGTATTGCAGAATTCACAGTTTTCCGGAGCTTGATGCTTTTAAGGTATTTATGGTGCCTCCTGTGTGAAATATACTACAATAGGACCTCCCGGGGATACTGGGATAAAAATCTGTGATGTTTTCCTTCATGGTGTTGGTAATTTAGTAAATTCTGTTGGTTGCCATTCAGTTTCAAATCAGGAAAATATTCTGCTATTCATATATTGGATTTGGATGCTCTGTGAACACTGTGAACTTTTAATGAGTAAACCTTGCTCCCAGAGAAACAAGATTGATTGACAGTAGAGCAGGGTTTTTCAAAATGACCTCTCATCAGAATCATCTGGGGCAGATTTTAAAAATGGACATTCCTGGGCCCGCTCCAACCCCCTGGACACAGAATCTAAGGGTTGATTTGACCCAGGAATCAGAATGTTAAATACTCGAGGTGATTCTTAAACTCAAAGTTTGAGAGCACTGCCCTGATGAAGAATATGAAGTAAAGCTTAGGTCTGAAAAAACGAGATCAAATGAGGTCAGCTAATATATACCCACCTAGAGCTGCATGTTCAATTAAGTGTAGATACATTTAAAGTTACATAGGGAGAAATAATAGAAACTTTATCCTTTGATTTCTTATTTCATTTGTTTTTTTTTTTTTTGAGAAATTACAGTGCTTGAAAGCAAATTTTTATTTATAGAAATCCTCATGGATGATTTTTTGGGGGAGAAATAAGGCCAATGGAGCTACTTTGTAGTTTTATACTGTATAAAACTCCCTCCTCCCTTTCTTTGTAGTTTTGTAAAGACAACTACATGCTTCACCAGTGCTTCGTTCATTGACAAATGTCCATGTACTAAATAGATCCTATGGCAAGTCAATGCAAGACCTTTTGGTTTGTTCTGGGGGTAGTGCTGGAACTATGCACATGCACACATATGCCCAGACTGCTCTGGGTTACAGTTGGTGTTTGTGCAGTATATTTCCACCCTTCTTTTAATCCAGCATGGAATTGCACCCATTCAAATAAATTGACATCCCATCTTGATTCATTTGGCAAGAACACATTTTCATGTCATTTTGTGGGCTGACCCTCGTGACCTTTCCTTAGAAAAAAATAACACGTGCTTTGAGTTTTTGCATTAATGGGCACTGAGAAGCTGTCAGCTCTTATTTCTGTTTTTGTTCAAGTCAACATCATTGACCTTTACCTAATGATCTGTGTAACACACAAGTGTGTGCCAGAGATTAATAGTGGGAAAAAAGAGAGAAGGAAGGAGGCAGGTGGAAGAAAGGCATGAGTGAGGCAATTTGCAACTTACAATGTAACAAAATCGGTAGTACTTTTTAAAAAGCAGAAGTGCGGTGCACTGTATTATGTTGCTACAGGATGAGTGGATGGAATATCCTTTTCAAATGGATTTTCCATTTGTTTTGGAAAGGTAATTAGTACCATGACAAATGTATTCCAGGTTTCTGAGTGCTTTTCTATGTTTGATAAAAAGAATGATTTAGCTCTGGCTGGTTTGGCTCAGCGGTTAGAGCATTGGCCTGCGGACCAGAGAGACCTGGGTTTGGTTCCTGCTAAGGGCACGTACCTCGGTTGCAGTTTGTCCCGGGCCCTGGTTGGGGTCGTGTGGGTGGCGACCACTCAATGTGTCTCTCTCACATCAATGTTTCCTTCTCTCTTTTCCTCCCATTCTCCCTCCTGCTCTATCTCAAGATAAAAATGCAAATAATAATAATAATAAAAAAAGAATGATTTAGGGTCTTCCAACAAACAAGTAATAGATGTACCTGATTCTTTCCTGGTCCGTGTGCTTTCACTGTTTCCTCATCACCTTGGATGACCAAACACCCTGATTGGCCTGGGAGTCTCTCAGTTTAGCACTGACATCCGTAATCCTGGGAAAACCCACAGAGTCAGTCACTCTAAATGCATCCATATTCAACATGTTTAAACAGATGTTTTCTAATGTGATACTCAGTTCTCTATGATGGTCTGTTCTTTGATGGAAATCTACAGCTTTTTCTGTCCTTGACTCTTTTTTTTTTTTTTTTTTTTTTACCTTGAAAGGTGTAGCAGATGCACAGAGATCTAAATTGTGATGATTTCAGTTAGGACACCTGTTGCATTGACCCAGACCTTGAGCTTTTTGCATACAATCCTTCTCCTCCCAGAGGAGGCAACCGGAGCTCAGAGAAGGTGGTTCTTACTAAATTCACGCAGTTGGACAGAAACAGATCTAGAATTTGAACCTAGCTCTTTGCTTTCCAATCCCATGCTTTTCTCAAAGTTCTCAAATGTGCTTAAAAGGTACCCTGTCCTCGTAAAGGAATTCACTTTGAAAAAAATGAGCAACTTTGCACCAGGAAGCAGCTCATACACTCAGATTGCACAGCACAGATTGCTCCCTGGAATTCTCCACAAGAGATTGTAGATTCCTGCTGAGCAGCGGTGGCAGGGATTTAGCCCCACGGTGAGGCTGTCCCCTCTCATAGTCACAAACATGCGTCACCCTTGAAGAGGAAGAGGTTACTACATGTATCTAACTCTGAGGAAGAGGTCCTGTGATCCTGCTACTTCTATTAATATTTCTAATTAATATTTTACCTTGAAATAAGCAGAAAACAGCACTTACGGATTATCATCTGCTCTTTATAAGATAAGATGTAAATGTTAAATGTTACTTCTTCTGAAAGACTTGCACACTATCTGAAGCCTATATTTTATTCATAGATTAAGCTCAATATTCCAAACCAGCTTCCACGTTTTCCATCTGTTCTGTAATCTCTCTTCCATCAAATCAGGGGGAAAAAAACTCAAACTGACTTATAAACAGAATCTTGAAACTCAACTTGAAAACTCCAAAGCAAAGTCATTATATTCATTGAAAGACGGCAGCCCTGATGATTTCCTTAAATTAGGCTGTACTTCCTGAATAAATTACAGAGTTAAAAGATCACCTTTTACTTACAATGAGATGTTGAGCACTTCTTAAGATTTACCAGCCCAAACTCATGTTCTTAATTAGCTAAGAGCAAAGATTATTAGGAAATGTTCCTAATGTTTATTGCTTAATTTATTTTTCTTTGACTAAATGAATCAATAGAAACATTTTAGTTTAATACGTTTCTATTATCTTTTTGCTCCTACTTTAAAAGATTCTGCAAATCAGGAATATTTAACGATCCAGGATGATTAGGGCATTGAGGACAATTTTTATTACCTCAGTGATTTTTCGGTTAAGGAATATTTACTGATGGATCCTTAGTGCTGTGTTATCTTTTGCCTCAACCACTGGTTACGAATTGTAGCTTTCTCAAGATAAATATACATTTCAGCATTTCTAGAAGAAATGGAGTAGTTCAGTGTAGACTAAGGCCGGCTTACCTTTTTTTTTTTTTTTTACTGATTTTTTTAAAGAGAGAGTGAAAGGGAGAGAGAGAGATAGAAACATCGATGAGAGAGAAACATCAATCAGCTGCCTCCTGCATGCCCCCCACTAGGGATCGAGTCCGCAACCTGGGCATGTACCCCGACCAGAAATCGAACGCAGACCTCTCAGTCCATGGGACGATGCTTAATCCACTGAGCCACACCAGCCAGCCAGCTCACCTTTTAAATGAGGGTATCAGTCTTGTTTGAAAGTAACCTGCCCTGCAGAGAACAGGGCCATGTGAACTGGTAACTGTAACCTTGATCCCCACCTTTCTCTTCTGTTACCAAGGGGATCATCCAAGATGGGAAGTTCATCTTTATGCCGAATGGATACATAACACAGTGTCCGAACCTGAATCGCAGTAAGTAGCAACTACAAGAATTTGTGATTTTTTTTTTTTTGTATTATATAACTTGTTGATAATATCAGAGAATCAGGTTAGGAATATGGACACACCATTTACAGTGTTGACTGATGAGGTGGTAAGTCTAGTGCAAGAAGACTTATCTATAGTGTATACTGCTGTGTCTTTGAATTTCTAAAAAGCTTAGGTATTATTTATAGAATTAAAATTTGAAGATAAGAAAAATTACATTAGCAATTTGGGTTCTGTAGATTGGTACAGAAGGATATGTTTAATATAATTATACATAGTTAAAAAAAACCATTCTTTTTGAATTGTTATTTCGTTAATTTCTGAGAATTAGTTGCCAATCTTATTGCTGTTTTATATAAAATTTTTTTTCCAATTATAGTTTACATTCAATATTATCTTGTATTAGTTTCAGGTGTACAGCATAGTGGCTAGACAATCGTATACTTTACAAAGTGTTCCCCCAGATATTTCCACCACCCACCTGGCATCGTGCATAGTAGTACAATATTTTTTACTATATTTCCTATGCTGTACTTTATTTAACAACTATTCTTTAAACTTCTTGACCTGGATTTGAGTTTTCTTTTATGGTAATTTACATTTTTCCAGTCACCTCTCAATAAAAACGAAGGGTTTAATTTCAACTTAAAAACGTTATACTGCCTTTCTTTTCAGCGAACAGTCCTTTTTCTCCTGTTTCTTTTTGTTTATTAATAAAAGGGCAAGATCTAGACTTGAAACCCTCTGTGATTTTATGCCAGTTTCAAAGTACTACTTAAGCAGAAAAGCAAAAACCCTCCTACATAGCCAGACATCTACTGTTTTAAAATTTTTCTTTTGTATGTTAGCGCTGTATCAACATTTATTTTATCTTTTCTTTATTGAGCTTGCCCAACTTGTAGTGATTTCTTAAGCCTGGTGCAAGGAATAATGGATTTACAAGAGCTTTTGGCCAAGATGACTGCAAAAGTAGGTACCTACATTTCACTTGTGATGTTTCATTCCTCTCTCCATGCTATCTGGAATCTAGAGTGATATGCTGTAATGGAAACATTTCTAGCCTTGGCATCTGCAATATGTTACTATGAAAATGGTTTATTCTTACTTGAAACAGTGCTACCTATACAGTAAACATAACTATTTCTGTCTTGGATACCATTAGGCTGTATCAAAATGTTTACTTGAAAAATGTTGGGAAGAAAGAGGCAATATGTATCACCGTTGATTCCCTGGGAATGGAAAAGAATTTGCCCATTGGCTATTAAACCTGTAACACTGTGAGATGATATATGGTCAGAGCCACCGCTGCTTATAAGCTAATGCATTTCGGATGTAAGAATAATTGCCAGTAATCAGAAGGGGTAAAATAGCTATTGTTAGGAAGAGATTACTGTCACAGCAAGGCACTGTACTGCATTTCTAATGCACGATTCATTTCAGGACTGGTCCTGAGTTAAATAGGGAAGGAGGCAAAGTTTGCCTTTCCGCCCCTCAGTTTTATAATTCTGCATCTTTTTCTCCTCTTCATCATCTACTTAACGAGAATCTTTTGAGCGTTGGCTGTTTGCCAGGTGCTGTGTCAGGTACAAAGGAAGCATTGGTGAATAAGACATGATGTACCCCAGAGGGGTTCATACTGAGTGGCAGAGCCAAACATGTAAACAATTAGGGGCTTTAATATATATTCATAAAGTTTAGATTCATACCGAACAGCCGTGAGCTTGGTGGAGGAAGGCACTGAATAAAATAGACACTGTGGCTTTGCTGTTGTTATGATACCAATCAGTCGTGGACATGAGTTCCGGCCCAGGGCGAAGAAAGAATTAGATTGGGTCTATGAGACGTTATATTCTGCGAAAGGAAGGATTTTAATAACAGTGAAAATGATACATTAATCCTATTCCACCTGCAGCTATGACTTTCCTCTGCCATCAGCCATGGCACCTGGAAAAAAGTGGGTGGGGAGAGGTTTTGCAGATCGGACTGTGGTTTGGACCCGCAGATTGTGCTGCTAAAGACAGTGTGTGTTTCAAACTAGGGTTTTGGCCACGTCCCCTTTTGTCTGGACAGGAGAGACAGAACACTTTTCTGAGAGAGAAACTGAGCCCGGGACTCAAGACCCTGAAGAGTTATTAGGTTTTCACTGCCGAGTTCAGAGGAAATGTGAATTGCAGGCAATTATTTGCCTTCCCAGCTTGTGGCATATGGAGGCTTTTATTTCATATTGTGTGGAGCAGCTTGATCTCAATGCGGTTAATTATGTTTTAGCCTGCTACCCAACTTTTGGAACAAGAACCATGTCACCCAGTCTCCGGCGATGGGGGCTGCCCCTCCCTGGCTCTGAGGATGCCCTTTTCTCTCTCAGCCTCCCCGCCACAGGGAATGGCATTCTTCTCTGTTTAGTCGTACATTGTCCAGGAGTGTCACTGTGCTCTGTCTTCAAAACAGTATCACGTAAAATGAACATTTGCGAGGCAGGAGATATTTAATTGTGGGCCGTGGCAAGCAGAAAATAATGTAATCCACCTTCTCAAACTCCAACCCTCCACCTTGCACTTTGGAAGATTTATAAGTCTGTTTCTTCCAAACCGTGAATAGAATTATACTTAGAAAACCTGAGTGCTTACATTTTCACTGCATAACTTGGAATCTGCAATCAGCTAGGAGCTGGCAAACTGTTTCTATAACAGGCCAGTGAGTGAAGGGAGGCTTTGCAGGACGAGAGGCACCATTGAGGATATTATGTACATATTTATTTTATTTGGAAAATAACCGTTTGAGCCCGGCCGGTGTGGCTCAGTGGTTGAGCATTGACACATGCACCAAGAGGTCGCTGGTTTATTCCTGATCAGGGCACATGCTCAGGTTGTGGGCTTGATCCCCAGTGAGGGGCATGCAGGAGGCGGCCCATTGATGTTCTCACCGATGTTTCTCTCTCTGTCTCTCTTCCTCTCCCTCTAAAATCAATAAAGAAAAAGAAAATTATTTAAAAATAAAAATAACCATTTGAAATATAACCATTGAAAAATGGAAAAATTATTCTTAGCTCACAGGCCATATAAAATTAAGCCTTGGGCCAGATTGGTCCATGGGCCCTAACTGTCAACCCCGCATCGGGAAGAAGCTGGAAAGAAACTCTTACCAGGGAATATTTGGTGAGCATTTACTATGTGCTATTTATAGTGCTTCAGCATTTTACCGTCCCTGTCACATCCTGTGAGCTGGGCCTGGTTCATTAGCCACCCTTCCAGATGAGAAGACTGAGTTCCAAGAAAGTTTTGTAACTTTTGTTTTTTCTGTAGGTTCTGTAACTTTTCCCAAGATAGTGAATGTCAGAGACGGGGCACAGACTCTGAAAGGTGAATCATGACTGAGCAAGTTTCTAGCCGGGGCAGAGAGGATTAGAAAGAGATGAGAGGCATCGAGCAGGAGTGACTGGAGAGAGGGATGCTGTGGCAGGAGGATAAAGGGATCAATGAGAAGAGGAATGAGCCATGATTCGTGCTCAGATGGCACCTGCTGGGAGTGAAGACACAGCATAGAGCTGCTGGCTGCCTTGAAAGGGGTGGGGGGTGGGGCAGGACGAACACAAGGCCCTTGAATTCATTTTTTGGGGGGTGCTGCCACTTGTTTTCCTTGGAAATACATGGATTTTTCTGAGTCCTGCCAGGACCATATAGGACCACCTTATATCCCATCATCTCCTGAAGGATTTTCAGATCACACAGAATGCTCAGAATCAAACTGCAAACACAGGGCAGGCCAGGTGAAGTCTTAAGGGCTATATGTTCCTCTAGTCAGTGTGCCAAAATCAGAACAGCGACATCTTCTTTCTGTGCCTTGTGCAAGCCTTGGGTCTTTTTTGTTCGGTCTTAAACTGAGGCTACAGTCCTAGGGGCCCTGGTCTTCATGCAAGAGTTTCCTCTGAAACCCCACACTGAGCAGACCCTGTTTTCTAACTTGTCTGCCCTGCACCCTGTGCAGCCATCAAGGTGGGAGCTCAAGGTTCATTGGACGTGTTGCAGCTGCAGTGTCCCCATATAGAACATATTCTTGGTTTCATAGAGATGTCATGAGATTTCACCTGATTTGGAGGTTTGGTTTGGTGCATGGCACACAAATGGGCATTCAATAAGCAATGACTGTTGTTAGTTATATTGTTCAACCTAGGGGGAACATAGGCTACTATGGGCAAAAGATGGTCCCCCCCAAAAATGTACACCTTCCCCAATGGCTTGCATCACACAGCCTGGCAGAGGCAGTGAGTTGACATCAGGGCTCTGGTCTAGATAGAGCCTGGTGGCCGGAGGTCTTGGGAAGCAGCAGAAAGTCCTCACACATGGGTCAGAGTGCACGAGCTGGACAGGAGATGGTAGCCGGAGTCACATTAAACTGAACAGATGCAGACACCATATAAGCCCAGGGGTCGGGTCTCCTAGGAGGGCTTGCCCAGGCAGGGAGGCTGGAGAATGGCTGTGCCCTTGCTTGATACCAGATGGGTCATGGGAACAGCTTGCATGCACCTTCAGGTGACAGTGGTCACGGTACACAAAAGTCCTGGCACTCTGGGAAAACCATTTCCCAAGACAGAGAAGGCGCAGGGAAGCTGTCTCCGGCCGCTTCCACTGAGTGATCCCTAAGAGACCACCAGTCAATCCCCTGGCTTACTCTGGACGTTTTCCCAGGCAGTCTTGACGTTGTGGGAAGCACCACCTTCTGAGCCAGGTGCACTGGATAGGGTCAGGCTCTGCCCTTTTCTCAAGCTCAGGAAGAAGAGATGCTGGAGACTGGGAATTTCTTCATTACTTCTGCTTAAATCTTTGACAAATCTATTTATGCAAATCAAGCAGCATTTGGAGTGGCATTTCAGCCTGTAACATGGTTAATTTTGAGACTTTCATTGTTTTGAGGAGCTCAATAGTGATTTTTCAATTAAGCTTAAAGATTTCATGCAATAGAAGAATTCTTGTTTTCCCTTCCACCTAGCAAATGCCAAACAAGTAGTATTTCAAAGAAAAATAAAAAAAGCAATCTACCACCTGGCTCACGTACTCAGGTCCATTCATTGGCCCCTTACTGCGAAAAAGGCTTCTGCTGTCTACCTTTGAACGTGCTGAGTGAGGAATAAGTGATTTGGTCGGTAGTTGTTTACATAAATGCAGGAACAAAGGTAAACAGAATGGAGATGTAGATCGGATACCATACACGTGGATCTGCAGGCATTCTTGCAGAAAATGGCAGGTAGTGTAGAAAGAGCTTTTGAAAAGGAATTTGTGTGAATTCAGCATGCTAATATCAGTGACAGAAAATGGAGTTCATTTTTTTTTTTGATTCAGAGTTGTTTTTCTCCTTTATAGTTGCAACAGGATGTAACAGGGAGAGAAAGGCAGACCAGATTACATATTAAGTGCCTTTGAAAAATTAGCTTTTTGCTTTAATATGTCTGTCTTTGTGTCTGTATGGCACACCCTTATGTTATAGAGATTAGGGTTTTTCAGTATTATCAGAAAAGGCTAAATATATTAAAAACAAAAACAAAGTTCAGAGGGTAAGCAAAGTTAGTCCTGAGAATAGCTTTCATCAAAACTGAGGTTTTCCTTGGAGTTGAGTTTTTTTTTTATTTTTTTTTATCCTCACTCAAGGACATTTTGTTTTTTGCATTTACTTCAGGTACAGCGGGAGGGAAAGAGGAAGGGAGAGAGAGAGAGAGAAACATCGATGTGAGAGAGGCACATCGACTGGTTGCCACCCACACGACCCCAACCAGGGCCGGGGACAAACTGCAACCGAGGTACGTGCCCTTAGTGGGAACTGAACCTGGGTCTCTCTGGACCGCAGGCCGATGCTCTAACCACTGAGCAAAACCGGCCAGGGCTGGAATTGAGTTTTATAGTTGAGCGTAGTTCAGCCTTTTTGGATATTATGGGGAATTAATATTACCCTTAGGCAAACTCCTGGATTTTCTGGAAACTGGGACAAATGCAGAATTGCCTTTGGGTCAATTTTAGTGTTTAAGAGGTTTCCTTCTTGGGGTGATACAGACACTAGAGTTGTCCCAGATTTTCCTGGGAGACAGCACATGCCTGCTCTTGGGGGCCCCTTCTAAGCCCATTTTAGGAGATGAAGACCTAGTTCAACTCTTTCTTGTCCCCAGGTCACATCAACCGTTAGCTGTTGTAGGAACCACTGGGGCTGTAGAACGAAGTCAAGATTCTGTGTGATGTTGTCGCTTACCGTTTATTATCTCTGCCTATACATAGTTGTGGTTACCTGACCTCACCAAAGTCTTGGAAGTGTATTTTCCCTTTGTTTCCTAAAAAATTCCCAAAGAAAGTAATTATCATAAATTCTAGAAACTCTACGATTAGGCTGGAGGTTCAAATGTACCCTGAGTTTTTGGAGCGTAACCTGCAATGCAGAAGAGTCCTAGGAAGACGACATTTCAGGCACAGTGAACTCTCAGTTTCTTCAGGGCTGATTATGGTGCAGGCGGTTTGTCTAGGATCCTATTTGTTTCTTTCCCTGCCTACTGGCACCACCCACAAAAGGCAGACCATAAACAAGTTTTCTTGAGATATTCCAAAAGCTTGGAGGAAGAAGATGACATAGGTGATAAAAACCGAGGTTGGACTTGCATGTGGATTCCCTTTCCGGAGAGTGGCGCTGCTCTGAGTCGTTGAGAGGAGCATGTATGGAATGGGGCCGTAGTTGGTGTAGAAAGAAGGTGGGCGTCGTCATGACCCAGGATCAACCATTATATTAAATTTTGGCTTGAAGCCCTGGCCGGTTTGGCTCAGCGGTTAGAGCGTTGGCCTGCGGTCTGGAGAGACCCGGGTTCGGTTCCCGCTAAGGGCATGTACCTCGGTTGCAGTTTGTCCCCGGCCCTGGTTGGTCGTGCGGGTGGCAGCCACTCGATGTGTCCCTTTCACATTGATGTTTCTCTCTCTCTCTCTCTCTTCCTCTCTCTCCCTTCCACTCTATCTGTACAAAAAATGGAAAAATGTCCTCGGGTGAGGATAAAAAAAAAAAAATTTTGGCTTGAAATAATCTTAGAGGGATCAAAGATTGATTTGGTCTCCTGTTTGGGGAAGATATTCAAGACATGGAGGTATATGTATGATCGAGACGGGGAAGAAAGCCTGTTTGATGACTTTTTAGGAAGTTATGTTTGTTTTCAATCAAGACAGCCTCTATGTAAGGAAAGGGGGAGAAAGGAGGTACTGGTATTGGACTGAGTTACTCTTCAGTATGGATGTGGCAGTAGAGAGATCATACCAAAGGTCAGTTTTTTAGTGTCATATTTTTGAAGGCAAACTGGAGTAGGCCACATGGAAGGTGATCAGGAGAGAGGATTGGAGCTGTATCCCAAGGACCTATGTAGGGAACCTGGGGGGCTGACTGTGGTCAGGAGCAGGCATGCAGACAGGATGACCTCAGGTGTTTGAAGAGAGGTCGAGTTGCTCAGGATGGCTACGAGGCAAAACCGGATGTCATAGGAAAAGGAGAGTGTTCAAGGCTCCAGCCAAGAGAGAGGTTTAAGACATCCAGAACTAACCAAAACAAATGAACAACGTCTTTCCTTGGAAGATAGTGTCCCAGCGCTGTCGATGTGCAAACAATGCCTGGATCATCACGATAGGGTTACACGTGAGGACATTCAAGCTGCCTAACCCCTTTCAAAGAAGAGAGTCTAAGATTCTGTGGTTAATGGTAACAGTTGGGCGACTTAGAACAATGAAAAGGATTCTTTCACCAAATCTTAATTTCACCCTGGGGGTTTGGTTGCTTCTTCTGACTTTCATCTGATCGCCAAAGTGGATTCTTGGGAGCTGGAGAGAAACTACATCCTTCTGTGCCTTTCCCTTCGTCTGGCTCTAGCTCCCCAGATTTTTTTCCTAGGATAGGAAGCAGTGACTTCCTAGCTTGTAAACTGTGACACTGGTTAGTATGTGAAGAACACAGAGGGGATGGTGGGAGATAAATGTAAGTGTGTTGGAGTTCCTCATTACATCTCCTGTAAACATTGTAATGAGTCCTTGAGACACATTCATTACAGAGCTTCTGTGTGGGCTTTGAACACTCAGGAGGTCCCTGCGATACAGTTTCATGTCTCATTTGGTGCTCATTAGACCATGGGAGCCAATATGTCTTTAATTTAGAATGATTCCACCTCACGTGAAAAAAAAAAAATTTCAAAACTAAAACAAACCTAAGAATCAGCGAGCTGCTCTGAGCAATTGTTTCCCCTGCTACTTGGATTTCTTTGTCTTATTGCTATTAGCGTTGGTAGGACAATGCAGCTGAATTACAGAAATGACACCTAGTGACTCTTGTTTGCAGCTAAATTATGCAGAGACAAGACTTAGTCAACTGGAAAACTGTCATTGCGAGAAGACTTGTCAAGTGAGTGGACTGCTGTACCGAGACCAAGACTCCTGGGTGGACGGTGATCACTGCAGGAACTGCACGTGCAAGGTAGGACCCGCAAAGAAATGAAATAAAGACACTTTGGCAGGACAGTGTCACTTATTACCGTGCAACCTGGTTCTTCAGTGTTTAATAAGTACCTCTAAGAAGTATCCCCTGTTTGCCCAGCCCATTTAGTCATCTGTGCCCTTACGAAGGGAAACTGGGCAAGTGTCATTTCATATATAAATTCTCGGAAATTAGAATCTATTTTCTCTCAACAGCACAATCTGACGTGATCGGATGTTAGTGTAAGAGGCTTACTGTTTAGAGTTTGGAGGTTAAAATGTCACAGGGAGGAAGAACTTTGATTTTTCAAACAACCTCATGGTGAGCTTCATTCACGACATTTTTCTGCTAGAATAAATTTTAAAAGCGGGGGTTTCATTCATTTCTGGGTGTTTTTGTTGTATTTTACAAGTATCCATCATCTGTTTGAGAAGACGGCAATGCTCCTAGAAGTTCAGGGGAGCCATCATTTATATACACCTTCATCTGTCTCAGAGAATTACGAAAGCCCCCACCCCCCAAATTAATATGTAAACCCTGTCCAGTTGAAATTATTTGATACATATCTGAAGGATGCCATTGTTTGCCTGAGAAAATACAAAACAGATTGCTAGAGCCTCAACAATGATTGACAGGCCCTGCAAAAGGTGTTATTTATGTTCCTGAAAAAAAAAAAAAAATAGGCTTTTTGTTTTCTGCCTAATCTCCTTAGCCCACACGGGCAGGTGGAATGAAGCCAGTGATGTATATCAGAAAAGTAATTTAGGAGGCACGGGTTCATTCAGGCTGAAGAAAATATTTTATTTGCGATTCTGGGGCGGACTGGGAATTCCTCACACGGCTTCTGTTTCCCTGAGGAGGTTGCTGGGATGAGCTTTTTCCACAGGGGGAACTTCTAACGCACTCCTGAGCGTCCTCTCCCTGTCCCCTTCCGCAGAGTGGTGCTGTGGAATGCCGAAGGATGTCCTGTCCCCCTCTCAACTGCTCCCCAGACTCCCTCCCCGTGCACATCGCTGGCCAGTGCTGTAAGGTCTGCCGACGTAAGTACTCACAGGGTCACAGTGGCCCTCTGTGCTTTGAGATTGATTTTTTCCAGCTGTATTTTAGGTGCCAACTGATTAACATTGAAGAAATGAAGCACCGGTAGTTGATGTGATAGTAAAGGAATGGTTTATTAAGAAGAGCTGCTGTGTTTTAATCACTTGTGATGTGGTAGACACTTCACATAGGCTATTTTGTTGTTGTGGTGGTTAATCCTCACCCGAGAATATTTTTCCATTGATTTTTTTTGATAGAGTGGAAGGAAGGGAGAGAGAGAGAAACATCGATGTGAGAGAGACACGTCGATTGGTTGACTCCTGCATGACCCTGACCAGTGCCCCAGTGCCAGGGATGGAACCTGCAACCCAGGTACTTGCCCTCGACAGGGAATCAAACCTGTGACCCTTGGGTCTGAGGGTTGATGCTCTAACTGGTGAGCCAAACCAGTCAGGGTGGCACATAGGCTATTTAAAAAAAAATTCTCACATCAACCCTAATTACTTTTCTTCTTCTCATCCTCTGTAGAAGGAACTGGTGTTCACAGGGATTAAGTCACTTGTACAAGGTCAAACAACTGATAATGGGTGGAGTCATTCTCTAAAGTCATTCGAAGCTCCAAATGTTTGGTTCCCTTTACCTCGAATGATGAAGTTAAAGGCTTAATTCAGTGTTTCGGCCTTCTGAGTCTTGGCCAGATTTCCTGGTATTAACAGGTTTCTGTTGGGAATTTCAGGACAAACTTCAGTTACAATACTAAAACAATTCCCCTCAAAGATGGCCTGTCCCAGCTAGAGAGTGATTTAAGAATCCTTTTCCCTCTGTATTGCAAAGGGCACTATTTCAAGTGAACTGGTGAAGTGAACCTAGGGACACACAGCGAGTAAAAGCTGTTGTGCAGAATGCTTGTTATGTGCCAGTTACTATGCTAGGTGCTTGCATTCTCTTAGCTTACTGAGTCCTCACCTTTTTTTTGGGAGGGGTGAATATCATATTATCTCTGTTTTGTAGGAATCTTAGACTGAGGGAAATTTACTTATCCAGGTCACAAGACCAGGGATGTCAAAGGTGAGATGTAAAACTAGTTCTGTCTGACTACATAGCCCATAGTCTCTCATCACACCATATGGTCTTCTGCAGAAAAGGAGAGTGTGGGCTAGAATGAGGCACCCTACAGCATGCCCCCTAATGACGGTGGGGGTGGGCAGAGCGGGGCTGGTCCTCCTGCCCCAACCTCTGTTGAGCACTTTCAAAAGGAAATTTTTAAATATTCCCTTTTTCTCATGGCTGGCACAGCACACCTAGTACTCAGGAGATTGTACTTGGAGTTTTCAAAAAAAAAGAAAGAAACTTTCTTGTTTCTGTTCTAGCGTTGGAAGTCACATCTGGCCATATAGATAGCTCAGGTGCCCAGACGCTGGGACTCCAGTCTGATGCCAGGGTGGAATAGGTGCAGATATTTCCCCCAATTCTGGTATTTTGTATAACAGCCAGCCGAGGAAGAAGTTAAAAAACAATGGGGAATTTGTATTTTATAAATGTGAGACATTTTAAATCCATCACTTTGAGTTCCCTGGGACGGATCGTGAATGCTATCTCTTATAAGTTATTGTTTGGACATGGGGTAGCTGTTTTGTGTTTTAACCTTTTGATTTTCAAAAAGTGGTATTATGGGCATTTTTTTTTTTTTTAAAACCACCCATAATACCACTACTTAGAAATAGTCTTGACATTTTAGTGGATTTAATTATTTTCAAATTTTACTCTATGTACAGTTGAGATTTTTTTTTTTTTTTTTTTTTTTAACATTTTAACCATATTTTATTTTTTTTTATTTTATTTTATTTTTTTTTATGAATTTTTATTTATTTTTTTTGTTACAGATATTTTACCTTTTTACCCCATTGGCACCCCCCACCCCACCCCCTCCACCCTGTCCCCGGCTTAGTTGTCCATGTCCATTGGTCATGCATACATGCATATAAGTTCTGTGGTTTATCTCTTCCCACCCCCCCACCCCCCATCCCCTCTTCTGAGGGATGTCAGTCTGTGCCCTACTTCCATGTGTCTGGGTCTACTGTATTCCTCAGACTGTTATGTTCATTATATTCCGTATATAAGTGAGATCATGTGGTATTTGTCTTTTTCTGCTTGGCTTCTTTCACTTAGGATAATACTTTCCAGGTCCCTCCATGTCGTCTCAAAGGATAAGAGATCTTTCTTTCTTACCGCTGCATAGTACTCCATTGTGTATATGTACCACAGCTTTTTGATCCATTCGTCTACTGGTGGACACTTGGGCTGTTTCCAGATCTTAGCTATTGTAAATAGTGCTGCTATGAACATGGGGGTACATATATTCTTCCTGATTGGTGTTTCAGGCTTCTTAGGGTATATTCCCAGCAGTGGGATCACTGGGTCAAATGGAAGTTCAATTTTTAATTTTTTGAGGTAGCACCATATTGTTTTCCATAGCGGCTGCACCAGTCTGCATTCCCACCAGCAGTGTATTAGAGTTCCCTTTTCTCCACACCCTCGCCAACACTTGTTGTTTGATGATTTGTTGATGGCGGCCATTCTGACAGGTGTGAGGTGATACCTCATTGTTGTTTTAATTTGCATCTCTCGGATGATTAGTGATGTTGAGCATTTCTTCATATGTCTCTTGGCCATTTGTATGTCCTGTTTGGAGAGGTGTCTATTCAGCTCCTCTGCCCATTTTTTAATTGGGTTCTTTGTCTTCCTTTTGTGGAGTTGTGTGAGCTCTCTGTATATATTGGAAATTAACCCCTTATCTGATACATCATTGGCAATGATGTTCTCCCATACAGTGGGTTGCCTTTCCATTTTGATGATCGTTTCTTTTGCTGTGCAGAAGCTTTTTAGTTTGATGTAGTCCCATGTGTTCATTTTCTCCTTTATTTCTGTTGCCTTAGGTGATGTATCAGTGAAAATTCTGCTCCGTATGATGTCCGAAATTTTTTTGCCTACATTTTCTTCTAGAATTTTTATGGATTCACGGGTCACATTTAAGTCTTTTATCCATTTTGAGTTTATTTTTGTGTATGGTGTAAGTTGATGGTCGAGTTTCATTTTTTTGCATGTAGCTGTCCAATTTTCCCAACACCATTTATTAAAGAGGCTGTCTTTACTCCACTGTATGCTCTTGCCACCTTTGTCAAATATTAATTGAGCGTATTGCCTTGGGTCCATTTCTGGGTTTTCAGTTCTGTTCCACTGGTCTATATGCCTGTTCTTGTGCCAGTACCAGGCTGTTTTGGTTACAGTCGCTTTGTAGTATAACCTGATATCTGGTAATGTGATCCCTCCAACTTTGTTCTTCTTTTTCAAGATTGCTGTGGCTATTCGGGGTCTTTTTTGGTTCCATATGAACTTTTGAAGTATTTGTTCTAGTTCTATGAAATATGTCGTTGGTATTTTGATGGGGATTGCATTGAATCTATAGATTGCTTTGGGTAGTATGGACATTTTAATTATGTTAATTCTTCCAATCCATGAACAGGGTATGTTCTTCCACTTTTTTATATCTTCCTCTATTTCTTTTTTCAATGACCTGTAGTTTTCTGCAAATAGATCCTTTACTTCTTTGGTTAAGTTTATTCCTAGGTATCGTAATTTTTTTGGAGCGATGGTAAATGGGATTGTTTTTTCAGTTTCTCTTTCTGTGAGTTCATCATTGATGTACAAGAATGCCGTCGATTTCTTGACGTTAATTTTGTATCCTGCTACTTTGCCAAATTCATTTATTAAGTCTAATAGATTTTTGATGGAGTCTTTAGGGTTTTCTATGTACAATATCATGTCATCTGCAAATAATGACAGTTTCACTTCCTCCTTTCCAATTTGGATCCCTTTTATTTTTTCTTCATGTCTGATTGCTGTGGCTAAGACTTCCAGTACAATGTTAAACAAGAGTGGCGAAAGTGGACATCCCTGTCTTGTTCCTGTTCTTAATGGAAATGTTTTTAGTTTCTGTCCATTGAGTATGATGTTGGCTGTAGGTCTTTCATATATGGCCTTTATTATGTCGAGATATGATCCCTCTATTCCTACATTGCTGAGCGTTTTTATCAGAAATGGATGCTGGATTTTGTCGAATGCTTTTTCAGCATCTATTGATATGATCATGTGGTTTTTATTCTTCATTTTGTTTATGTGGTGTATCACGTTTATTGATTTGCGAATATTGTACCAGCCTTGCATCCCTGGAATGAATCCCACTTGGTCATGGTGAATAATTTTTTTGATGTATTTCTGGATCCGATTTGCTAGTATTTTGTTCAGGATTTTGGCATCTATGTTCATCAGGGATATTGGCCTGTAGTTTTCTTTCTTCGTAGTGTCTTTTTCTGGTTTTGGAATTAGAATTATGCTGGCCTCATAGAACGTGTTTGGAAGTCTTCCTTCTTCTTGAATTTTTTGAAATAGTTTGAGGAGAATGGGTGTTAGTTCTTTTTTGAATGTTCGGTAAAACTCCCCCGTGAAACCATCTGGGCCTGGGCTTTTGTTTGCTGGGAGAGTCTTGATTACCTCTTCAATTTCCTTAGTTGTTATTGGTCTGTTCAAGTTTTCTATCTCTTCCGGGAATAGTTTTGGGAGACTGTGTGTTTCTAGAAATTTGTCCATTTCGCTGAGATTGTCGAATTTGTTGCCATATAGTTGTTCATAGTAGTTGTTAACGATCTTTTGTATTTCCGTGGTGTTGGTTGTTACTTCTCCTCTTTCATTTCTGATTTTGTGTATTTGGGTTCTCTCTCTTTGTTTCTTGGTGAGTCTAGCTAAGGGTCCATCAATCTTGTTTATCTTTTCGAAAAACCAGCTCTTTGTTTCATTGATCCTTTGAATTGTTTTTTTGGTCTCTATGTCATTTATTTCTGCTCTGATCTTTACTATTTCCTTCCTTCTACTTGCTCTGGGGTTTTCTTTTTGTTTGCTTTCTAATTCTTTAAGTTGTGAGGTTAGACAGTCAATTAGAAATTTT